TTGAGTGTATGCGTAATGACATAGCCGCATTGGGTACTTGAGGAGTGCTTGCGTGACGGCGAACGGAGGTGTAGACTAGGGCACGCAAACGACGTGTGAAGTGATACATTGGCGATAGCAGAGAGTGTACGAACAAGATGCAGCCGCACAGCAAGATAAGAGGGATCAACAATATAACGAACAGATAACATGGGGACAGCTATACTCGAAGTCAGCCTCTGCACAGTCCAGGAGGATCATACGACGGACCGATCAACCCTCATCATCCTCACTGTCTCCAACATCGATCCAACTCCTCCCATCCTGTGGCCCCTATAAGCGTCAACGGCTTTTCGTCCTCGTCGCACTCCTTGCCGAGCAAGATAGGCGGTTTGGAAGACATCGCAGGTGCCATCCAGAGCCCAAGATCGGGCGCAGCTTGGGCAACACTTGCATGCGCTGGTTTGAGAGCGACGGCAGTTATAAGGGGGGGTGAAGCCGCGCCGTTAAGACGGTTGATCGGAGATGAGCGCGCTCTGAGCGTCAATTGGCGCGCCGGCGGAGGCAACACCAGACGGCATCCTAGCCGTAAAGTCGTGGCGAGAAGTGATTCGGACAGTCAGCAGCGTCTTGCGCAGAGGCGGCGCGGTCTACGAAGATGCGACAGGAGTAGGCGCGCGTTGAGCAGAATGCGCCAGTGGACTCGACGTGCGCGCTCGTGGTGGCGGCGGTTTAGACGCGGAGAGCACGAGGGAGGGAAGCGCCCGCGTAGCTGATCCGGGAGGATGGATAGCCGAGTTAGGCGCCCGCAGGTGCGTGCTGGGAGTATGCGCGCGGACAGATACGACGGAGTCATGAAGCGGGAGAACGTCGCGTCTGGTAACCGGGGAAGGCCGTGGATGGTGTGCGCGCTGCCGATACACCTTGCGCCGCTTGGCGGGGCTCAAAACGGTGGGCTCCACGAGGTCGTTCACGCGTTTGGGTGATGATGACGAGTTGGCGCCGACAGACGAGCTGGGAGGATCGCTCGATGTAGTACTGCGCGGGGAGGAGTTGTGTATGGGAGATATTCTGTCCACGCGAAGGGAGAGCGCGGAGTCGATGGCGGGTGGCCAGCGTCTGCGCGTGCCGGTCTTGTGCTCGAGCGTGCTGCTCCACTATCACGCTTATTGACTACACAGATGTGAGCGGAGTGTACAGAGAGAGCGGAAAGATGTATGCTTACCGACTGGATTGCGGTGAGGATGTGCGTCTGCGCGTCGACGAGCTTGCCCAACCCGACGACGTTCGCGGACGTCGTTAACGCGTTCTTCTCCAGCGCCGGCTCTCCTACCGTTTTCTTGATGACACCCTGCGCGCGAGTCACTGTGCTATGTCAGAATCTGGCCTTGCATGAACGTGCATATACGCACTGGCACTGACAACCCCTTCCCCCCGCAGCTACGCACTCTTCGCGCACACGCCCAACCTCCACGCGTGCTCGCCTAGTCTAGTTGAGCAGGCCTTCATCCGTCTTGATAAACGCCTCGACTCGAGACTGGGTGTCCTGAAGGAGAGTGCGCGTTACCGGTTTCGCTCTATCCGTCGGCGACATATCGGCACGTGGACGCAGGGGGAGGCAGCGGTAGGCGCTGGGGAATGCATGCCCATGAGGACGAGGAAGATATCGTCTGCTGTACCGGTATTGAGCAAGAGGCTGACGTAGTGCTGGAGGAGAACAAGGAGGCGAGCGAGCGAAACATGATGAAAGACTCTCAGTGGCACGTGGGTAAGTGTACATGTCATGGGTAGCTAACTGAAATAATAACTGATGGCCCCAATTGTACATGTATAGGGGTGGTAGTTACTAGCTCTCTCTTTCTCAAGTGTAAGCGGCATGGCGACTTCCCACGTATGACCTCACCTTGGCCCCGGTAAGTTTCCTTGCTTCGAACGGCCCCATTCATGGGGCTCAACGGTTCAAGTTCCGGGACGGTGATGATATAACCCCAGTAGTACGCCTTGATATGCTGTTCTTCGCACGTTATTCGATACTCTTGGTACTGCAAGAAGCACTACGGGTCAAGTGAATGGCATGTCCAACTTCTTAGCAGCCTGTAAAAGACGATATCGATAGTACGTGAGTAAAAACACCTATCTGATTGACGAGAGACGCACTTCTCTGATGATATCCTTCACACGAGCTTCCACGAGCGATGCCGTAGCGATCAAAACCTCCACAATCTCATCGGCTCTGCATGGATCTTGGCCATCGCATGCATTGCCTTTGGAGACGGCCGCCTTCAAAGGCCCATGAGGAATCCTACTGATCTCCGTGAGGTCAATGCCTTCCTCAAACAGCCTGCCAAGGGATTTGACATGCAGTAACCACCAATCTTTGACCCTGGTAAGCCTATCCGAAGGCTCCTTCAACTGTACTTTTGTATTCGGGCACGTTCCACAGAGCCCACCACTGTCCACGCTCTTTCCCCTCGCCCTACGCGGGATGTCCTCCGCCTTGAGCCATTGGAAATCGTCTCCGATGCGGGACGCAGAGTGGATGCAACGCGATTGAAAGTTGATCAGCTGCCGCAGAGCATGCGCCGAGATGTCGCGAAACTCGGGGATGTTCGTGTCAGCATGATCGGGAAGAATGAGCGGCGATGATAGGGACTCCAGGGCTGCGCTCAGAACCAGGTCTCGGGATTGCATGACCCACGCCAGGGCGTAAACGCGTTCGGGATCTGAATGTAGGTGTTCGCGCAACAATGGCCGCAGGATCCGTTTGGCGTTCGAGAGCTCGAATTTGGCCGTCAAGCGCACGGCTAGCGCGAGATCGTCGAGCGTGTCGAGTCCCAGTTCTGCATTGGGATGGCAGAACGATAGCAGCAATTGGAGAGACTGCTTGTCCTCTACCATGCAGACAACAGGCAACCCATCCTTCTGTTCGTCGCTCTCGGTGGATCCCTTCGGTGGACTGGGCAAGGCGAACATCGTTTCGAAGACGGGCGACGCCAACTTGGGAACGACGCGATAAGAGCGGAAGTCCACGTTGTCAAACGAGCGCAGGATAACGTCCGCGTCCGGTGCTGCGAAGGGCTCCCCGACATCGCGCACATCATCTCCATGCATCCTAGCTGGATGTGGCTCAATGATATGTCAGTCAAGGCTGGTTACAATATATGCAGACAGCGTACTGCGAGGTGTGACGGCGTATGTGATGAGGCCGTCTTGACCAAAGGCCGCCCGGTTACAGGGTCAAATACGCCTGGCCTCCACAAGGGCAGGAGGCTGTGAGCGCCAAACGAAGTTCTACAGTCAGGTGCCCCGGGCTTCTAGAAGTACATCGCACTGTGATAAGCGACTTCTTCCCCTCAAAGGGCTGGTATTGACGCCTAATCTGAGCATCCAATAGTAGTCTCGAGTCCCGCGCTCTCCAGCTGAGCTATCGAAGGCGATGGGTGTGTGCGCAGGGATATGGATGTATCGGGTTCTTGAGGAGTGCCTGAAAGAGAATTGGTGAAGATTGCAGGGATAAAGCGATACATTGGTGATAGCAGAGGGAGAGAGGATACAGAGAACAGTGCAATTGCGATGAGGTGGGACTTCTATAGTGGAGTGGAGAGCAAGGGTGGCAAGATAGCAAGTAGAGCGGGATAGAGCAGAGCAGAGCAAAGGAACGAGGCGGCGAACAAAAATGGTACAGCGGAGCAAGATAACAGACAACAGCAGTACAGCAAGTGGACAACAAAGCGAGCTATAACCGAACTCAGCATTTGGACAGACCAAGAAGTTCATACGACGTACCGATCATCCCTCCTCGTCCTCACTATCCCCAACATCAATCCACCTCCTCCCGTCCTGGGGCCTTACAGGCGACCCAAGAAGCATCAACGGCTCTTCGTCCTCTTCACCCCCATCCTTGCCGATCAAGATAGACAGGTTGGAAGACGTCGACGGTCCCATCTCGAGCGCAGCCTGCACGGCTTCACGAGGGACGGCCGTTGAGCGAGGCGGAGAAATCGCGCCGTGGAGAGGGTCGATCGGGGATGAGGGCGGCTTGGGCGTCGACTGGCGCGGCGGAGGAGGCATACCCGGGCCCGTGAGTCCACGGCGAGGAGTGATCCGGACAGTCGGCAGCGTCTTGGGGGGTAGCGGCGCGGTCGAAAAAGTCGCGACAAGAGGCGTGGGCGCTCGTTGGGCTGTATGCGCCAGCGGGCTCGAGGCGCGGGCTTGTGGTGGGCTTGAGGGTGTGAGGAACGAGGCCGCGCGTGGCGGTCTAGACGCGGAGAGCACGAGGGAGGTGGACGGAAGCGCCCGTGCAGCCGAGCCGGGAGGACGAATTGCCGAGTTAGGCGCCCGCATCGTTGAACTGGGGGGCAGAAGCGCCGGCGGGCGATTGCGCTGCGGTGTCTCAAACATGGCCGACGTCGAGGGTAAGCCAGACGATACGACTATATGCGCGCGGGCCGAAGAAGAAGAGTTTGTGCGCGCGTGAGCGGATGAGGTAGTCGTCATGTGGTGGGCAGGTTTGGAGGATGCGGTGCTTGTATGCGCGCGCATTGATGCGACGGAGCTGTGTCGGCTGCGCGGGCGCTGAGCAGAGGGCGGAAGCGGGAAGATGGCATCGACGTCGCGTCGAGTGGTCGAAGAAGCATTGGAAGACGTGCGCGCGGACGACGCGCCGTCGAGCTTGCGTCGCTTGGCGGGGCTCAGGGCAGCGGGATCCACAAGGTGGTGCGCGCGTTTGGGTGATGAGGACGAGTTGGCACCGACAGACGAGCTCGGATGATCGCTCGATGTAGCGCTGCGCGGGGAAGAGTTGTGGTGCATCGACGACACCCTGTCCAGGCGAAGGGAGAGCGCGTCAACGGCGGCGGGCAGAGCGAGCAACGGCGCGAGGGTAGCCAGCGTCTGCGCGTGCCGGTCTTGTGCTCGGGCATGCTGCTCCACAATTATGCTTATTGACTAGACAAATGTTCAACAGAAAGTACGAAGAGAGCGGATGGTTTGGACACGCACGGACTGAATGGCGGTGAGGATGTGCGTCTGCGCGTCGACGAGCTTGCCCAGCCCGGCAACGTTCGCGGCCAGCGTCTCGACGCTCTTCGCCTGCGCCGGCTCTCCTACAGCTTTCGTGATGAGCCCTTGTGCGCGATTCACTGCCTCGTATCAGCATCCAGCTCTGCACGAACGCGCATATACGCACCGGCACCGACGACCTCGTCCACCGTCTTCTCCCCAGCGCCCGCGCACTCCTCGCGCACTCGCTCGACCTCCACGCGTGCTCGCCTTGTCTCGTTCAGTAGACCCTCTGCTGTCTTGGCGAATGTTTCGAGCCGGGACTGGGTGTCGTGTAGGAGGATGCGCGTCGCCGCCTTGGCCTTGTCCGCCGGCGTCAAGTCCGCACGAGGAGGTGGGGCCGTTGGCGGTCGCGGGCGCTGGAGAATGTGCGCCCACAGAAGCGATGACGGTACTGCGGGTTGAGCCGACACGGGGGAAGCCGCCGACATGGTGTTACTAGAATGGGAGAGATGACTGGCGGTGTGAAGAAGTGTGAAGCGTGTGAAGTCGACGTGAATTATAAGCTTGCAAAAGCTAGTCTGATCGTCGAAGCGTTTGAACCATTTGCGCTGTCAAGGCATTGAAACTTCTGCGTCGACGTCAGGTAACATATTATGATCTGGCGCTGGGCGGGCGAGTCAGAACGTGTCGCGCGCTCCACTTTGCGTCGTGCAGCAGGCTACAGCCAGCCAAACAACTCCGAGATTATTTTACAGTTTGATACATAGTAGGCGATTCGTCTTCCTTCTTCGCTCAGGCTGACAGGGACCAGGGCCAAACTTAATTCCCCATCAATCCTCATTGGCAAAGACCCTTCCTTTGACCTTCCTACAGTGCATGATCCTAGTACAGCAGCGCATACGCCCAGACTTCGGGCCCATGCGTACTATGCCGCTGCATCCATGCCTTCGAAACAGAGTTGTCGAGGTGCTAAAACATCGTGGTCGTCCTTGATTCTGGGGCTCGAAAGAGACACAGCTTGTGGCCGAGTTCGAAGAATCGTCACATCCCCGAGAGCACGTGAATGGCGTGTGCGCTCTCGCCCGAGTCCGCCGAGGCGACGCCTCGGCCCGACCGATTTTTTCTTTCCAGGTCATGCGCGGGCGGTGTGCTTGCGGCCATTTTTCACGTGCTGATGTCGGGCAATGTCGGCCCGAGGTGTGCGCGTGTTCGGTCTCGCGTCTTGTCGCTCGCCGCCATGCCGTCTCAAAGCACCGGCGGAAGATATTGAGGTAGCTATCGTGCTCAACCTTTTCGTACGTTTCGCTTCTTTTCATACTGTTTTGCGCGCGGGCTGACATGGAATCTAGATCGTATACTATGCTATATGCGTGCTACGTGCGATCTTTTTCCAAGGCGCACCCAGTCTTGCACGCGTCTCGTTCGCGTTGGCCGACCGCCCACTTGGCCGGGTTGGTGCAAACGGCGTGCATGCTGTGCTCGGGGTTCGCGCAAGGGATACAAGTGTTGATCGTGCTTCTCTGACCTTGCGTGCCAGGTGTGCGGCGTGGGACTAACGCGTCGGTATCGCGAGCAGCCGACTGGACCGACTTGCGCTTGGGACAGGTGAGTACCGTTACTCGCTTCTATCATTTCACCATTTCTTACCGTTGCGTCGCAGGTCGTGCAAGTACAATCATTGGCCATTATCTTGATCAGGCGCGCTAGTTCTTGTCGGGCGGTGTCCGCTGCATCGTACAGACGCGTCAAAGCGTCGACGGTGAGGTCTCTGTCGGCGATGTGCTGCTGGAGTTTTTGGATGGTCTGCGGCATAAAACGTGAGCTGACTTGTTGCATAGTGACCGTTGAAAGAGTACATACCTCGTGCGCTACGGTGAGTGCGCGGCCTTGAGCGTCTTCGTGCTCGTTAGGCATGTCAATGATGGGTTGCGAAGGCATTAGGCATGCATCTCGCGTCTATATAGCGGTATACCCAAGGTATGAGCGCTTCTATGGTCCGGAAGCTGTTTGTGTTCTTGATGTACTTACCTAATGTTTTCAGTTTTCTATGGCTTTGTAGGCACGCGAACGGTGTCCTTGATCTTGTCCGTCGGTGCGTACTTGCCTCGTATTATCGAGCGTGTTGTCGTGGCCATATGTGTTGGTGCGCTCTTTGCGGACGCCAGGCGGGTTGTGATTCTATCGGTCTTGCCACTGGTAGTGCGGTCTCTATTGCTTATTCGGTTCCGGCCTCGTGGCCCGGGGTAAGTTCCATGTATGGGGCGAGTCACGCCGGCACTTCTAACGGCCCCGGCGTTATTCCCTTTACAGCAAGCTGACGAATGACCGTTCTATCCAGGGTCGAATTTGATAGGGGCGTGCGACTGCGCCCGTGTGTTCCCAGGGTAACTACGCCGGCGTACCCGCCTTCGCGGCCGCGTTTGTCGCGCTATCTGCGCTTTCACGGCCATCCCTGGCTCATTGTGCTCCTGTGAATCAATGTGAGTGAGTTGTTGCATCTGCACTTGGACACGGACTGAGTACTTACTGTTGAGGGGACGCTTCCAACGGCGGTCTTCGTCATCAGGTTCTAGCGTTGCATGGCGCCGGCCGCAGATCGCGCCGCGCTTCTGATCGTTCCCACTCCTTGGGAGCCGGGCCAAGTGGACGGATTTGGGGCGACTCCCGTGTCCGCTTTGTCGGCCACAGCTAACCTAAATCTATCAAGGGTCGGTTAGTATGGGCGCTCGTCTGTAGCAATGGGAGGTTGTTACCCCCATGGACGCGAAATGCGCAGAGGCCGTATGTCGTTTCCGCGAGCGTGGCGACTAATGTTTCGCTGGTAAGTGCGTTGCGCTATACGTCGTGTTCGTGTACTGACGGGTTGTTTCGTCGGGTACCGTTTACACGGGCTACATGGACGCCGCGCGACCCTCTGCGCCCGTTGGCATCAGGGGTGCTGTACTCGGCGCTTCCCCAGTTCGCCGTGTACACAATGTACGGTGTACACGTCATATTGCTAAGGTTCGTCTCGCGCAAGGCATATGGCTCATTCAAATCTCAATGCCTCCTATCAGCGCGTGAACGCAGAACCTGCGAGGTCCGCGGGGACTTCGCCCCAAAATGTGCGGTCTTCAGGTCTCCGGGTCTCACGCTGGTCTACTATTAAAGGCGCGCTGGGGCGCGGCGTTGCTCTCCATCCTCTTCCACCCACTTCCATCTCACAGCATATCTTCTTCTTCATGGCCGCTCAACCCAACGCTATCGTCGTCAACGGCGTCGTATGGCGTCCCTACATCCCCTCCTTCCTCTTAACTCGTGCGTATCGTTACCTGCACGTTCGACTGTTTGCTGACCGTCCCGCGCAGGCGCTCGGTTTCTAGTCTGGGTCGCGTCGCGTCTCTTCCCGGCCGCGGATATTCTCGGCACCGGCGGCGTTGCAACGCTCTCGTCCTTCCGCCAGCAACTCGCTTTGTTCGATCTGCCCGACGTCTGGCGTTTCGCCGAGGACACGTGTCTGACCGACCACTGGCCGGACAAATACCACACCTTTTACAACGCCCATTTGATTGGGATCACGGCTTGGCCGTAAGTATCTTATTTGCGTCTACAGCTTTCGAATAATTATACTGATAACATTGTATAGGGAACACCAAAGCCAGGCGTACGACGGCTTTGCGGACGCGCGGCGCACGAGCGTCCGATCAATGCAATGTGCACATGTCAACCTCTGGCGCTGGCTCCAGTCGCTCGCGCAGGTGCATCTGGAGCACCCTGCGTTCACGGCCGAGCAGGTCATCGAGGCCGCGCTTCCACTTGCGCCGACCAGGGCCACGCGCTACGACGTCCCTCCCATCTTCCCGGAGCTCCACCACTAGGTTGCGGTACGTTCTAACGCGCGCTTTCTTTTACATTTAAACTAACATTCTTTCTGGCAGACTTCTTTCGTCGTCGTCTCGCGGTCGGCCATACGCTCAGCGCGAGGGCGGATGGTTGCAGGAGATCTTTTTCGTAGCCACATACAAGTAGCGACTCTCTGTGCCGGCGGCCTAAATTTTTCTTGCAAATTATATTGTCTTTTCTGTTCATAACATGTGCACTGGGATGCGATACTTGTATTAAGATGATACGCTATATATCTAAGTATGGTAAGATGGCTTGTGCAACAAATTTAAATTAAAAAGGTCTAAAATCGTGTACGCGAGCACGAAACTCGTGTCCCAGAACGTGGCCATCTTCGACTGTACCGATACTGTCCAAGATTCGGCGTCGCGGGAAGAGGCGTTGAAGGTTGGGTGTGAGCGTGAAGAGTCCCTCCCAGGGAATATTATCACCTAAGAAGCCGCCCGATGGTAAGGCAAGTACGAGCAGGTTGACGTTGATAGCGCTGCAAACTTGCAATGCCGCGAGTACTGTCTCGTACCACATGCACGGTAAGTAAGCTCCTCCGAAAGAAATGACCGACTCGGGGTCTACAGAAGACCTACGATCAGAACTCCAGTCGGTAGACCAGAATCGGAGCGTTATTCGATCGGCCAAATGTCCTTCGTGAGCGTCGCACTGGACTGTTACTGCACGGACTGTGTCCTGATGGCCAGCTGGGTCTGCGAGCATCATCAGTAAACAGATACCGTAACGAGAACTCATTTGTACTCACAATATATGCCCAATATATCTTGCTCATCTGCCAAACTTTGTCCTGGACCGTCTCCCACTACGGTCCGCACATTCGCGTACACATGGCCACGAGTCCAAGAGAATATCCGTAGGACATTGGCGATGTGAGGAGCGTATCCTGTTAGGCTGACATGCGTCAATGCAGGCAGTACAATTGGGTTGGCCTGATACGCGCGAACGTCCGACCGGTAACTTCCACCGACCGGATTGGTGAGCGTCAAGTGAGTAAGCTTCTTTGTACCTAGCATCGTCATGGCCCGATAGAATACGTCGATGGTTGGTCGGGAAAGGTAGTTGGTGCCGAAGATGAGAGTGAACCGTCTGACTTCGGGCGAGATGATGATGGTCCAACAGTTTTGTAGGTGTACGTTTTCGAGGTTGTCGGCTGTTATGGCGAATGCGTCATGTCCCTGCGTAAGTACGCTACTTCTGGTCAGCCGGGAACTAGCGCCATTGGACGATATGGCGACTCACTTTGCTCTCAGACCCGTCCAGCACCAATGCCATGTCTCCAGGTGAAGATCGCGAAGAATCTTGAGGGGTTCGTCTGTTGACGCCTCCGCCAGTCCGAATATATAGTCTGTGATGTCGTTCCCGCGACCATCACGGACGTCGATTTCGCCGCATTTGTCCAGGGGAGTATGGGAAAAGAAGTGCGAAAGTGAAACTTCGTCGGCTCGAAACATGCCGCTCACCGGCGAGATGCGAGGCTCGGAGGCGTTCAATCTATAGACGAGCGGAATGAGTCGCGCACGATCGATGAAGAGCGACTGTAACTTGGGGTAGTGCGAGTAGCATGCTGCCCAAATAGAAGGGTCCGTAATAAGAACCTCGCGCCATCGAGCGCATATCCAGAGTAGTACGAACCAGCCCGGGCCATGCTGACCGTAGCCAGGAGCGAAAAGCGGAAGACCCATCGACCGAGTAGCCTCATGGAAGATCATACTGAGAACCTCGTTGGGTAGAGTAGCGATAATGGAGCTGACAGGGTACATCAGTATCATCGGGTATGTGGTTATAATGGCAAGGGACGTACTGAGTTGACTTGTGGCATGATCGAGTTCTAGGATGGACATGTCCTTGGACGACATTCTTGGCGATGTTGCGGGCCCGCGCAAGGACGTTATTACGCGAAGAAGAAGGTTTCTTTACGTCCATCGAGTCTATTGTGAAGAATTCGCGTTGGCACGATGTATGAGACGGTGGAGTGAAGTGTTGGCTTGCAAGCGGGTGGCGTTTTCAGGATTGTTTGGGCTTGGGGGTTTTATAGCCGGCCGCGCGACCGTGTTCGTACACCCGCGTGACGGATACACGAGAGCCATGGCCTGTATGCAAGTTCGACGCACCGTTCACGTCGTCCTGACATCGGGCTCATATCAGGCCGCCGTCGACCCTACGTCGAGTCTACGTCGGGCCTACGTCGAGCTTACATCGAGCCTATGTCGAGCCTACGTCAAGCCTACGTCAAGCCTACGTCGACTGTGCGTCGCCCCTTCAAATGTACGCATTTTATACGCATATCAAGAGTGTATGCGGTCAGTTTATCAGGTGTATGTGACGCTGATACGAACACAGTGATCGAGTTACTGTACTGTCTGGACAAGTGCGTCCTCACGCAGTTCCGAGCGCCGCAATTCGCTAGCATGCGAGGCCGTCTTTCACGATAACGCTTTGGAGGCAGTATATTCTATTAGGTGTTGGGGTAAGAGCGAAGTTCATGGGAGTTCGGGTGCAACAACTTTTTCGGAAGTAAGGCCGCCCGGGCCGGGTTGAGCCGATTGAGCGCATGTGCTGATGAGACGCGTTGAATTGTACGCTCATCTGCAGGCGCGCGGCATGATACACTGAAGGCGAGACCTATGTCATTATGCACGACCGGAATCTATCTAAGTTACAGCATGTCAGGTCCCTCGTCAACTACGTCTTCCATCTGGTCCTGGGTATCGGACGGCACTGGTGGATCGATGGCAGGCACTTTGTCCGTGTCTCGGGGCAGCGTCTAGGAAGTCGTGTGAGCATGCTGTTCGGGGAAGTTTTCTGAGGGGTGCGTACGTTGTTTGCTTCCTTCGATGTCAAAAGACGGATGCATGACAATAGGTCGAATCTCACCGTCACGTCGGCCGGCGTGTTGTACTTGCCACGCTGTGCAAGGGCGATAACCTTGACTATTACCTGGACGAAATCTCCCGGAGAAAAGCTCGACGCGCTGCATGCTTTGATCTGCAAGTCCGCCTGACGATACCCGAGTTTCGGGGTAGATGTGATGCGCCACATATGCTGGATGGATGATGCTGGTCCTATGGAATAAATGGAAGGCGTTGTATTCGCGGTAACCTGCATGCGACATCAGCGCGTGCGGCGTGGTATACATGACGGCTTGCAACAGTTCGTACCTTCTCGAACTGGTTGAAGTGGGCCGACTGTCGGCAGAAACGAGTCATCCCTGACACAAACCTTCCTCAATCTGACCAAACTAATCTTCATGTACCCTACAGATGCAAAGTAGGTGTGTTCATATCTGGTTTCAGGATGTTTTCCTACCAAATTTCCTACTTCCTCTTTGCTTTGTCGGGGTTCTTGACTTTATACCCGTCGGAATGGACTGGGTATGCTTTGCCCCTTCTTCCAACTTTATGTATGTGCTCTCTTGTTGCAGTTTTCATCGCGTTACCAATACTACGTTTAGCAGCACAGGTTGTATGTCTTAGGCAAGTATTTCCTCTGTCATGCCCATTCATCTTCCATAGTCTTCCAAGCTTATCACAGGCATTGCGTGCAAAGATAGGTATGATC